GCCTCTTCCACCTTGATGGGCATCTCTTTCCTTAGATTTGGGAAATTTTCTCCTATGATTTTGTTGAAGAATTTCTGTGCCTGGGTTTCTCCTCCTTTTTCTATATGTGTGATCAGTAGGTGTGGTCTTTTTATAGTGCCCCAAAGTTCCTGGGTTTTTTAGACTTAACATTTTCTTTGAGTGATCCAGTTCCTCTAGTTTGTGTTTCAGTCTTGATGTTCTTTCTTCTATGTGATCCATTCTATTGGTGAGGCTTTCCACTGAGTTTTTATTTCGCTAACTGAATTTTCTTTTCAAGTTTTATTTCAGTTTGGCTTTTCTTCTGAAATTTTTATTTCCTTATTAAAGTCTACTTTCATATCTTGGATAGTTTCCTTTATTTCAATCAGCTGTTTGTGTTTTTAAGGTCTTCATTCCAACATTTATAGTTTTATGAGCATATTTAGAGTTGCTTTTTGAAACCATTGTCTTGTGTATCAGCTAAGTTGCATTTTTCTTCTCAGGAACACTAAGATGGAGGTACTAAGTGCTGGAGGAGATATATTGTCTAGGTTATTCATGCTGTTTGTGTTTTTGCAGTTGGACCTAAGTGTCTGGAGTTTGGTCGTTGGTGGTGTTTCTTGGTATGGATAGCTGGTCTTAACTTTTGTTGAGTAGATGTTTGCATCTTTATATGTTGTTACCCCAACTTGTCAGGGTGGAACCAGCTGAATGGTTCTTGGGAGTTCATTTCTAGGAAAACTCTGTGTTGATCTAAGAATGGGTTACTATAAATGGATCTAGCATATCTGGGGATAGATGCTACTTCTGAGCCCAGGAGCAGACTTTCCTTTTTAAAAATATTTTATTTATTATTTTTATTTTATGTGTATGAATGTATTGCCTGCACTTGTATAAGTGCAGATGTCAGAGAGGGTGTCAGATCCCCTGGAACTGGAGTTATTGACGGTTGTTAGCCGCTATGTGGGTGCTGGAAATTGAACCCAGGTCCTCTGCAGGAGCAGCCAGTACTCTTAACCACTGAGCCATCTCTCCAGCCCCAACAAACTTTCCTTAATTTGAAAATTCTCACTGCCCATCTTCAGAAGTCTGTGGAAGCTCAGCCATTTCTACAGGTGGCCCTTGGGTGGGATGTTCTTGCATCAAAGTGGGAGTGGGTAGTGCTCCCTGGAGGTGGGCTGCACTGTCCTCAGGTGCTGGTGGATGGGGTAGAGACCACGCTGGGGGTTCTCTGACTGAAATCATGGTTTCAGGACACCATACTCTCTCTGGGGTGCACAGTGGATGTGGTGCCTGGCTCCCAGGTGGGCTGACTGGTGCTGGGGGTCCACAGCTATGGTCTGGGTTGCAGGATGCCACATGGTCCTGAGGTCCTATGGTGGGGTGAGTGGCTGGTGGGTGGGCAAATGCTTGAAATCTTAAGTAGAACAATAAAGAAGATAAAAAAACAAACAGGATACAGCTAGGAAAAGAAGAAGTGAAATGATCGGTATTTGCATATGACAGGTTGTATACTTTAAGACCCTAATGACTCTACCAGGATACTTTGATTTGATAGACAGTTTTAGAAAATAAATTCAGGATACTAATAAGCATACAAGATTAACTATCTTTTTCTCTACTCAAACAACAAATTACATAAGAAACTAAGAAAACAATCTCATTCACAACAGCCTCCACCCCACCCACATACTTAGGAAAAAACCTGACCAAAGATGTGAAACACTTCTGTAGGGACAATTATAAAATATTAAATAAAGAAATTGAAGTTGTTAGAAAGTGGGATTTACCATGCTTACAGATTGGCAGAGTTAATGTTGTTAAAAAAAAAAGAATCTATCCACAGTTTCAGTGCAGTCCCCACCAACATTCAAATTATATTCTTCACAAGCTGGAAAAACTAGTCCTAAAATTCATGTGGAAGCACCAAACATCCCTGAATGGACAAAACAGGCTTGAGCAGAAAAAACAGCTCTGAAGTTTTGTAGTATCTGACATTAAATTATGCTATTGGATCATGATAACAGAAGCATGGCAGTGGGTAGAAAACAAACATGTTGGATACCTATTTCAAACTTCTGCCTCCCGTGGCTCAGGGATCACAGAGGAAGAGGGAGCAGAAAGATGGGGTAGATGACCACAAGGAAACAGTTTTCCAGACAGCTGGTCAGTTACACATATGAGCTTATAGCAATGCACAAGTCCCATGCAAGCTCAAACCAGAAAAAAATTCCAGCATAGACGAGAGGAATTGGGTAAGAAATCTGAACCCAGCTTTTAAGAAACTTTTGGCAACTGATGGCTGCTAGGAGGGGGAGAGACAGTCTCTTACAGGGATGGGACTCTTGATATATGATAGAGTACATTAAATTGGGCAGTGTGGATAGGGGAGGGGATCCAACTACCATCAAATTATATTGTATGAAAATTGCAAGAATTCAGTAAAGAGTTAAACAGAGATCTTATTGAAATAAACGGGGGGGGGGGGGGAGAAAAGAAAAGAGACATGTATAACAATGTAGAATAGAAGCTCCGGAAATAAACTACACAACCTCTGCTATCTGATTTTTCAGCAAGGATACTGAAAACCTACAGTGGAGAAAAGACAATTTCTTTAACAAGTGGTGCTTATAAAACTGAATATCCACACTATATCCCTACCTCATACCCTTTAACAAAAATCAGCTTAAGCTAGGTGTGGTGGCAAATTCTTGTAATTCCTACACTTGGGAGATAGAGGCAGAAAAATTAGGAATTCAAGGTCATTCTCTGCTGTGTATTGAATTCAAGGTAAAGACTGGGCTACAAGAGACCCTGACTTAAAAAAAAAAAAAAAAAAAAAGACTCAAAAATGACCAAAGACCTTAATGTAAGACCCGCAACTGATACTACTAAAGGACAGCATAGGGAAATACTTTAAAATCTAAGTACAGTGGTTAAGAGAACTGACTGCTCTTGCAGAAGACCAGGGTTTGTTTTCCAGCACCCACATGCGGTTAACAACCATCCTTAAACTCCTGTTCCAGCAGATCTGATGTTCTCTTCTGGCTTCTTCCACAGGCACTGCATGACATGGGTACACTACGTACATGTAGACAATACACTCTTACTCATAAGATAAAAATAATAAAATAATGTTTTGAGAAGTGCCTGTAGAGTCGGGGATATCTTTTACTAGCTGCTCATCTGACAGAGGATTATAAAGAATTCAAAAAAATTAAATGCCCAATGATCAAATAATGCAGTTAATAAATGGATGAGGAACTGAACCTGTGTTTCTCAAAGGAAATAGTTCAAGTGGCAGGTGAATAAATGAGGACATTTCACTATCTTTAGCCATCAGGAAAATGCACATCTGTTCTACATTGAGACCATTTCAACCTAGTCAGAATGACTAGCATTAAGAGAACAAAAACCAATTGCAGATGAGGATGGGCAGAGACATTTAGATACTGTTGGTGAGAATTTAAGTTAGCATTGCAACTCTAGAGCCCTCTCAGAAAGCTAAAAATAGAACTTCCAAAGACACCTGGGTTGTCTTTGAGGATGTTTGTTTCTAGCCTGTTATGGGTGGTATCATCCCATGGGATGGGGTCCTGGACCAGATCAAAAGAAAAGATGGAAGAAGCTAGCTGAGCACCAGTATTCCTGGTTTCTCTCTCTGTTGTCAAAGTATGAGGAGTCACAACTCCATTCTCTTGTCACTTGATGTACCATGTGAAGCTGTCCTGGTTTGTCTCTCCATTGCTGTAAAAAACACTCTGACCACTACCAATTTGGGGTGGAAAGGGTTTATTTTATCTTACATCTCCCGGGTCACAGTTTATCAGGGAGCCCAAGGTAGGAACTCAGGGCAGGAGCCTAGAGGCAGGAGCTGGAGTACAGACCATGGAGGAATGCTGCTTACTGGCTTGTTCCCCTGGCCTCTGCTCAGCTTGCTCTCTTATGCAACACAGGCCCACCTGCCCTGGGGTGGCACCACCCACAGTGGGCTGGGCCCTCCCACATCTCTTAACAGTCAAGAAGATGCCCCATGGATAGGGCCACAGGCCAGTCCAATGAAGACAATTCCCCAATTGAGGCTCCCCCAACCCAGGTGTGTCAAGTTGACACCAAAGCTATCCAGCACAGAAGCTGTCACACTTTTGGATGTACAGCTGAAAGAACAAAAGGCAGCATACAGCAGAGATACCTGCATGCCTCTATTAACTGCAGCACTGTTCACAATAGCCAAGTCATGATCCAGCCTGGGTGCCCATAGGCAGATGAATGGATATAAATAAAAATGTGACATGTATACATGATGGAGTTTTATTAGTGTAGAAAAATAGACTTGTGCCATTTACAAGAACGTGGAACTGGAGATTCTCATGTTAAGTGAAACAAGTTACAGGTTTCCTCTTAAATGCGGAATGCAAGTCAAACAACGAGCCAGCAAGGAAACTGAGAGCTCAAGAAAAAGGACATAGGGATGAAAGGGGGGACTATCAGGAGAGTGGGGAGAGGACTGATAAATATGGGAAATGAAAGGAAACCACAAAAAGCCTTATATAAACATATGAAAATGTCATAATGAAACCCATTATTTTGTACAAATCAAAATACAATGGTTCATCTTCATCATCAGATTGTCTAGGTTTAGAATCACCTAGGAGACACCTGGGTTGTCTTTGAGGATGTTTGTTTCCAGTCTAATTATGGGCGGTTTCATCCCATGGGCTGGGGTCCTGGACCAAATGAAAAGGAAAGATGGAAGAAGCTAGCTGAGCACCAGTATTCCTGGATCTCTCTCAGTTGTCAAAGTGTAAGGAGTTACAACTCCATTCTCTTGCCACTCAATGCACCATGCCTTCTTCACTGTGAGCCAAAATAACTCCTCCTTCCCATTTGTCAGATGTTTGCTCACAGCATGGAAAGTAGCTGATAAAATAATTCTGTGCGGGCATAGCAGCATTTCTGTTTCCAGGCTGTACATCTTTCTTTGCTTTGATCTCTTTCAGAACAAATTGGAGCTTTAGCAGATCAGCACATCATTCATGTGGCATGTGGCGAGTCCCACAGTCTGGCCCTTAGTGATCAGGGCCAGCTGTTTTCTTGGGGTGCAGGGAGTGATGGTCAACTAGGACTCATGACTACTGAGGATTCTGTAGCAGTGCCCAGGTAAGACTATTAGAGAAAGAAGTTTGGGTCAAATATCATTTATTCCTGATTTTTGTTCTGTTTTCTTCATTTTATTGCAGTTTCCTTTATGCCTCTGCTATGCCTTATAGTATAATAACACTTGTCACTCAAAAAAGTAGTTGTTTATAGAAATGTTTGTTTCAAGTTATAAAAAAAATGAGCTAGTCCAGAACTGTGTGTGTTCTAGTAGTCTGGCTACTAGTTGAGTTCCTAGTATTTGACAAATGTGTTGACTAAAAAGCCTCCTTTTTCACCACTTATACTTATTTACCTTGAACTGATGATCAGAAGCTTTAATGACTTGGGCTGGAGATGGTGTACACACTTTTAATTCTAGCATTTGGGAGGCTGAGGCAGGTGGATCTTTGTAATTTTGGGGCCAGCCTGGTCTACGATGGCAAGTTCTAGGCCAGCTAGGATACATAGTGAGAACTTGTCCTGAATTAAAAGTTTTAATTACTCGATTAAGCATTTTAACATAGGATTATGAAATTGTAATTCTAATAACATGCTACATTACTTTAAGTATTACAATAGCTAAAGATAAAGATGTAGGTTTTTCTTTCTTTTTGACAGACACAGTCTTATTTAGCCCAGGTTGGTGTTAAACTCACTATGTAGCAGAGGCTGACCTCTACTTTGAATGCAGCTCCCTGGGCCTGTCAGCCATAGTCCTCTCATTAACATCTATGAAGACAGTAATCACTTTGGAGATCTTAAAGATGTTGTGTGCACAATAATCACTTTCTGAAGAAGGGATGGCAAGTAGAGGAATTATGATAATAGGGATGAGCGTGGGGGTATTTTTGTTTGTTATACCTAAGAGGCGGTCTAGTGAAAGACTTATAATAGATTTACATTGTGCAAGATTACGTGTTTTTTGTTGTTTTTCTTTTCTTTTTTTTCTTTTAAAGGGCAGGGCCAAGACTGACTCGCCGTGAGGCTGGCACCAGCGCCACACCCCACTTGTTTTATTTTTTAAAAGGTCTTTAGGTTTACACATGTGTTTAGTTGAGAATGTTTCTGATAAGTGCGTTTGTGTGTGAGTGCCCATTTTAAAAAGCTTTTTTCATTTTAGGTTAATACAAAAGCTGAACCAGCAGACCATATTACAAGTTTCTTGTGGCAACTGGCATTGCTTGGCTCTTGCAGCTGGTAATACAACATGAATATACCCTAATGTTATGTTAATTTTAAAAGCATTTCTTTCCAGTGTTTTCTAACTTGAAAGCTTTCACTGAACAGTGACAGTTTCCGTGTAACTTCTTGTTCCTTGCAGATGTGGGTATGTAGAATGTGGTCATCCCCCATTGCTGTTCCAGCTTTTACAGGAAAAGATAAGCGAGGGATAGGACAGTACCCAGGTTTTGAGAACATAGAAAAGTGTTTTTTTTAAGCTATAACCCTTCCCAAGCTCCATTCTACTGTCAAACTTCCAGATTAATGTAAAGTCAGAAGCCAGTGAATGGGTACACTGTACTCTGCTAGAGTGAGTCTGCATGTGCATGCCCTGGTCAAGCCTCCATCTCAGAGCAGTTTAGATGGTCACAGCTGCATGCCCTAAAACCATCCTGATTCTTCTGGTCAGAATTAAGTTCTTCTTGCTTAGATTTGTAAGTCTTGTAATTAGCCTGTTCAAAATTGAATTTACTTAAGTGTTAATAGGCTTTGAAGGATAGTAAGACTCAGCTTATTTCTCTGTTGTCAAGTGGTAATTTTGGCTTACAGTCTTACGACATGCAGTATCTCTTTTCTCTTTCTGTTGGTTGGATTTGGTGTGTATAGGCAACTAATAACTGCCCTAATAAGATTATTTTTGAGTATGGACCTTGCGTCACTTTTTGTAATACAGTTGTCCTGTTACTATTTCAGATGGCCAGTTCTTCACATGGGGGAAGAACAGTCATGGGCAGCTGGGTCTGGGGAAGGAGTTTCCCTCTCAGGCCAGCCCACAGAGGGTGAGGTCCCTGGAGGGGATCCCGCTGGCTCAGGTGACTGCAGGAGGAGCTCACAGCTTTGCCCTGTCTCTCTCAGGAGCTGTTTTTGGATGGGGAATGAATAATGCAGGGCAGCTAGGGCTCAGTGATGAAAAAGGTAAGTAAAGTCTTTGTATGCACTCTTCAGTTTAAAAGCACGTTCATTTCTTTAGCAAGTGTTTATTGTGGATCTGCTGTGTGCTGGCTCTGTGCTAGGTCCTGAGGGAGCTGCAGTGAACCAGACAAAACATTTGTGGCCTAGTGGAGACCATATTCTAGTGAATGGTTGCAAACTGCAAATCACTAAATATATAGTATGTTACATGGCTTTAGAGCAAGCTTCCTGTTTATCACAAGTCAGTGAGGAAGGGCCTGTCTGATAAGAGCATATTTGAGTAGAACTCTGTAGGAAACCAGGTAGGAAGTGGGACATGTAAGTAAGTTAGTGAAGAATGTCTCTGTCAAAGGGAACAGGACTTGAAATGGCACCAATATGGGAAGATAGTCGTGGGGAGGGAACAAGGGGAAGGGGAGCAGAGGTGGTCATGGAGGGCATGCAGGCACTGCTACCAAGGACCCTCATAGGGCAAGGCAAGGATTTGGCTTTCTTTCCTGGAGAGGGAAGACACCAAGAATTTTGAGGGGTGGTCCAGTTTGAGTAGCTATGGTAGGTTAGGGTAGCAAGGGAATCATTTTGGAGGTAGTAGCAGTAGTTGAGTTTTTAGTACTTGGAGATGAGACCACTTGGTTCTGATCACTGTTGAGTGTATAGCTGGAGACAAGGGGAATGCTGGGTTGGGGACAAAATGAAGATGGGGAGTGGGCAGAGTTAGAGTCTGGGGGAATTGTGAGTCAAGTTTCAGATTTATTAAATTTGAGATTGAGTAGAGATGCAGGCAGAAAGCTGAATGAACGTGTGAGTCAGGAAACCATTCCTGATACTATATGTATTTCATTTCAAAGGCCGATGTTTAATTTATTCTAGATCGAGAGTCTCCGTGCCATGTGAAGCTTTTGCGCACACAGAAAGTCGTCTATATTAGCTGTGGAGAGGAGCACACAGCAGTTCTCACAAAGGTGAGGAGTGCAAGGACTTGTCAGGGATGAGGTGTGCAGAGTGAACTGAGTGCTTCAGCGTAGTGGTGGTGTTTTAATTACTGTGCTTGGATGTGAATGTTCTCTTCACTTTGTTTTGATTGTTTTGGAAGGAATAGAAGAACAGCTGTTTATGTGTCTATGCTGTCATCTTGGATAATCTTATTGAATCTCTTAGTAACATTTAAAAATTGTTCAATATAAATCACCTAAAAATATAGCCTATCTACGTATGCAAAACAATATCCATCCTTTGTCCCTTTAAAATAAGGCTTCACAGTCACTTTTCTAATAAACAATATGTAAAGTTTTGTATAAAAATAAATAAATAAATAAAAATAAGGGTCGGGCGTGGTGGCGCACGCTTTTAGTCCCAGCACTTGGGAGACAGAAGCAGGCGGATCTTTGTGAGTTCAAGGTCAGCCTGGTCTACATAATGAGTTCAGGTCAGCTGGGACTACAGGGAGACCCTGTCTCAAAAAGACAATAAATAAATAAATAAATAAATATAAATAATTCATTTGAATATATAAAACAAATAGTAATTTAATGATGTTTTAAAGTAATCAGTCTGTTTTCTTTTGCTTCTAGGAACATTAGAATGAAAATGTGTTTTCTTTTTGTTGTGGTGGTTGTTTTGAGACAGGACCTTCTGTAGCCCAGGCTGGCCTTGATTCTGCCATGTAGCTGGGGATGATTTTGAACTCCCAGACCTCCTACCTCCACCTCCTGAGTGCTGGGATTATATGCCTGTTCTACTGTGCCCAGCTTTAAAATGTATCTTCATGTTGTGTATTTTCTATAATATATTCACTTTAATAAAATGTCTCAGCATTTGTTCAAGTACAAATTTACATTCTTGTGTTTATGGAGCTGCAGTTTCTTACGTGCGTGTGAACCTATGGCATCCTCTCATTTCATCTGTTTTTCCTTTTAAAACATTTTGCCACCTAACACATCATTACATTTAAATTGTTTTTATTTTTATGTGTGTGAGCGTTTTGCCTGCATGTATGCATGTGCACCATGTGCATGTGGTGCCTGTGGAGGTCAGAGGGTATTGTCTCCCCTGAAACTGAAGTCGAAGATGGCTGTGAGCCACGTAGCTGGGTGCTGGGAACCAGTCTGGGTCCTCTGCAAGAGCAGCAAGTGCTCTTAACCTCCAAGCCATCTCTCCAGACTCACATCATTGTACTTTTAAACAGTCTTTAAAATCTCCAGATGCACACAGTCCTTTGAGTAGTGTAGCCTTTGTTCCTTTAATTCCTTTATTCCTTTTTCACTTAATGAATATTCTCAGGAAGTGATTTTGGCTCAGTATCCAGTGAGTACAGTGCCCTGTACAGTCTGTTGAGTTGGAATTTTGTGTATAGGTTTTAGAGGACAACTCTCAAACTCAGAAACAGAAATGTCAGTGGGTATTGTTCCCCATTAGAGTGGAGGTGTGTTTACCTTTGGTGCTGGTTCCTGTGGGCAGCTCGGACATGATTCCATGAATGATGAAGTTAATCCAAGAAGAGTTCTGGAGCTAATGGGCAGCGAAGTAACCCAGATTGCTTGTGGCAGGTGAGTGCTCCCAGGAGCTTCCCATCACAGTGAGACCCAGAAATGGAGCTGACAGCAGTGAAGCCTTGAGTTCACTGTCATTTTAAGAAATCTTTTTCTTCCTCTCTCTCTCCCTCCCTCCCTCCCTGCCTCCCTTCCTTCCTTCCTTTGCCTCACTCCTTCCCTCCCTCCATCTCTTAACAGGGTCTCATATAGCCTGTGCTGGCCTCAAACTCGATATGCAGCAAATGCTTACCTTGAACTTGAACTCCTGATCTTCCTGATTTTGCTTCCCAAGTAAATGGATTATAGGCTTGTGTCACCATACATAGCTTCGTTTTAGGAAATCTTAGGAAAGTCAGATTGTAAAGGAGAGGGAGGTTTTAGGTAAGCACACCAACAGGAGGACATTAGGCCTCTTTTGTGATAGAGGGCAAGCAGCAAAATGTCAGGAGAAATGTAGGAATGTGATGATTCCTTGCCCCCTGTGGGGCCTACCTTGCTTTTCTTTCATACCAAAGGCAGAAGGGGCAGGTCATTTAGTGCTTTTCTCAAGTTGCCCTTCTCACCAGTATCAAGCAGACATGGCTTTGTCATTGTAACACCATGTTGTCATCTACAGTTGGACTGGGGAGATGATTCAGTTAGTAAAGTGCCTGCCCTAAAAGCACAAGGAACTGAATTTGGATTCCCATCAAAACATATAAAAGCTGTGGCGGCCTGTAACCCAGGCTGTAGCAACCTGAAGCTTGTTGGCTAGCCAGTCTAACCAAATGGATGAGCTTCGGGTTCAGAAAGAGACTCTCTTTAAAAATAAGGGGGACATGATCAAGGAAAATAACTATTGTCTTCCTCTGGCCTGTACACTTCACTTCTATACACATGCATATGCATATGCACACACATGCACAGACTCATATTAACAGTCCCATGTACCCCCCACACAATCACAATCACAACATAGTATACACACACTACAAAGAGAACTGCACAATCAAGTTACAAAGAAAAAAAATCACACACAAAATCTCATCATGTTTGAAATAAGTTTATTATTTACTGTTGAACTGCATTCATAGCTGTTGTGGGTCTTATGAGGCCCGTGGGCTACAGGTTAGGCATGCCTGATAGAGTGTCAGAAGTTAGAGGTCAGAAGTATGGAGAGCCATCTATTGTAAAGAGTCATTAAGAGGCTCCTCGGTAACCTCTAGGAATTGCTGCAGTCTTACATGGAAGTTTAAAATCAGGGTCTGAGTGTACATCTTTATCAGTAGAAATTATGCCATTGAGTTTATTATTTTCCACAGACAACACACCTTAGCCTTCGTGCCTTCTTCTGGACTCATCTATGCATTTGGTTGTGGCACTAGAGGTCAGCTGGGAACTGGACACACATGTAATGTTAAGTGCCCATCTCCTGTGAAGGGTTACTGGGCTGCCCACAGTGGTCAGCTTTCAGCTCGAGCTGGTAAGAGTAATTTTCGTTGGAGTTAATTATATTTTTAAACAGTAAGTTATTTTAATATGTATTTATTCCATACCTTGAAATCTTTTGGAGGGAATGAATATATGTTGTTTTATCTTACTTTGTTTTTTAGAACATTATTCATCATATTGAGTAATTACTCTGCATGAAGCTCTAGGACCAAGAGCCTAGAGAGCACATTGCAATGTTAACATCAAGGAGCACTAGTGTATGTCTTATTATTGTTAACAGTAATAATTAACATTAATTGACTATTTAGCAAAATTCCACGATAGTACCAAGCACTCAAAAGTAAACACACTACTACTATTATCATCCCCTTGCTAGAGGTGAAGGCCTGGTCCTTCTGGATGCTCACAGAAATTCTGAGACAGGATTTGAACCCAGGTCCACCTCATTCAAAAGTTTGTGGTCTGCTTCTGGTGTTGTGGTTATAATATGATGATACTTCTTTTAATGACATTTAAAAAATTCTCTTGAAAAGGTTGAGCCAGTAGACTTCATTTCATTGGAAATCAAATTCAGATAGGCACTCATATTGAGCATCTGTCTTATTGTGAAATAATATATCCTAAGCTCAAAATAGAACTGGAGAGTTACTAAATAGAAATGTAATTTAATAATGAATTTTAAATTTGAATTCTAAACTGACATATTTAGGACTTTATAAGGATTTTAAAAAATAATTTAAAATTTTTTACTGGATTTGTTTGTTTGATTTTGTTAAAAGTAGAGAAAGGAGATTTGTTCAATTGGCCACATTGGGAAGAGGAACAGATCAGGACTGTTTGGGTGCTCTCCTCCAGAGCCGAAGAATAGTTCAATGTCTTGTCATTTGTAAAAATCATTTCTCTAGGCATTCTCCTCAAACTTGGAATACATGTATTTAAGACATAAACCATTGAATGTAAAGATACACTCATATAATACCAACATTCAAAAACCTGAGACAGTAGAATCACAAGTTTTGGGCCAGCCTGGGTTATCTAACGAGTCTTTGTCTTAATCCCGTCCCTCTCTTAAAACAATAGGAACCAATTTAAGAAACTCATTTAATTTGAAAACACAAATTTTTGAAATTGAATTACAACCTGGCTTAAGTGATCATAAGTTTGTGCTTGGGTATTTGACAAAATGATCTTATGATGAAATTGGTAAATTTCAGTGTTTTATCAATATTGTGGTTTTAGGAACCTTTAAGGTAATAGGAGAACACAGAGGAAAACAGCTGTGCTGAGGGTGGTTTGGAGTTAGCCAGGTAGAGGACTGTCAGAGATCAGAGGTGGTACCATGGAGGCACATAATTCAGGTCCTAGGAGGTGTTGTTCATGAAGAATTTATTGTGTGAAGGGAGGGAGGAAGGAAGAGGCAAGGGAAATAAAATAGTGTGGCAGTTAGGGGCAAAGCAGTAGGGTGGTCTTAGAAAGTCCACATGTGGGAAATTAAGCAGGGAGGAGGATATAGAAGTCCTTCCTTCCATCCTCGGCTTCGTCTTAAAGGTAGGAGCTCACGGGATATGGACTCACTTGTTATGCATATGTTCCATTTATAGTAGTGCTCATTTTAGATGTAGGTCAGTGGCATAACAGAATTAGCATGAAAAATAGAAATTGAGGCCAGGATTAGCTGGCTGTGAGGGAGGAGGGCAGGCAAAGAGAGGAGGATACCGTGTTATATATTTGTTTTTTAATTGAAATAGGAACAATCCTGGGCAGTGAGCCAGGAGAGAAGGTCTTTTCTCTGAATGTAGTTAAAACAGATTAGAAACCATTCCGTAGCATACCTGGGGATATCAGGAAAGTGATCAAGGAGAAACAACTTTGGAAAAACATACTGTTTGAATTTGTTTTGACAGATCACTTTAAATATCATGTTGTTAAGCAGATCTTCTCTGGAGGAGACCAAACTTTTGTACTTTGCTCCAAATATGAGGTAAAATTTTCTTTTGATTATTACCCTGAGGGTAGAATAATGGTAAATCAGTATTTAATAATTATACAAAAGCATTGTAACTCTTTGTTTCTCCCAGTTTTATCTTATTAAAATAAGCAAACTAAACCTTGATGTCATCTCCATTTGCCTCCTTTGAAGTAAATTTTCCTGGCATTGTTATTGTAGATATCTGATTTATAATGTAGAATTAATTATGGATATCCGTATTTTTTCCAAAAAAGAGCTAAAAGGAGATTTAGAGCCTCTGTGTCACTGTTTTTCTGTTTCTTTTCTTCACTATTAAGTATCAACAAATTCTGGGTTTTTGATAACTTAGTGGATTTCTTTGTTTGATGTGATTGAGTATATAATAAATATATAAGAAATACAAAAATTTCATTTTTATAATTATCTATTCAGGATACCACACCAAGACTTCCCTTCTCTTTCATCCTGCATCACTATACTGAATAAGCCAGAAAGAATAGTGGCATAGCTACGCATGGCGTTGCACACCTATAATCCCAGTACTTGGGAGGTGGAGAGGAGGAAGAGACAGAAAGATCAGGAGTTTGAGGCTATCCTCAGCTACATGGCCATTTTGGACCAGCCTGAGCTATCTCAAAACAAAAAGAAAAAGTCAGTGGCATAGCATCTTTCAGAGTTTAAGATCCAGTATAGATACAAGACTACAGCAGTGCTTCAGAATTTCATTCATTCTGCTCTTCCTGGCCCAGGGCACTCAGCTTAAAAAGAGCTCTGAGCTGTGGTTTTGCCCCTCTCTTCTCCACATTCCCACTTTCATTCAACAAGCACTGCAAGGAGACAAACTCTGAGGTGATGATAAAGGAATGAGACCTGATTGGGAAGAAAGCAGCACCTGTGGGAACAAAGACCCTGTCAGTTCAGAAGCACTCCCCGTTCATCTGACATGTTGCCATCTCACTCTAAATCCTTCTTGCAAGTCTAATTCTGTAATTCTTTAGGAAAGGTACTGCTGAGCCTAAAGCTTAGACAACAGAGTCAACAGTAAGCCTGAGGAAAGCCATGTCCTCTCGTCATCTCCAGGGTGATGTGGAATTGCTGCTTTGGGCTTGTTTTAGGTTCAGCTTCAGAACTTCACAGAGTGATCCTGAGGAAAGCTGAGGTCATTATTTACATTTAAAATACCAATAGCTATCCATAACTCCAGTTTGGGGGATCCAGCACACTTCTTCTGGCTTCTGTGGGAACAGCACAACATGGGTATGCTTACATACACACAGGCATAACACTCGTACACATAAAATAAAATAGAAAATTAAAATGCCAATAAAGCAAAATATAGAAACACAGGATCTCTTTAGGGTAGTAACTTTTTGTCTACAAGTAACAGAGTTTTAAGAATTCATTTTGGCAATAAATTGACTTGAATAATATCCAGTGCTTCTCTGTGAATTCAGTATAAAACTTAGTTTCCTTCCTTTTAGAAATACGTGATCTATGTAGTTGAATTTTAATTTGCATGTGGAAAACAACCCACTGATAAAAGGAAAGTTTATGATAGTGTTAGGGAGATCTGGCAAGTTAAAGTTGCCAAGAGACATACACATTAATTCATTCTCATTCATTCTCTCTCTCTCTCTCTCTCTCTCTCTCTCTCTCTCTCCCCTCCCCCACTTTGAAACAGTAGCCCAGACTTACCTCAAACTCAAGACATTCCTTCTGTCTCAGCCTCCTAAGTGCTGTTACTGCAAGTTGTGGCAACACACCTTTCTTTTAAAAAATATTTAATTAATTTTTAATTTTTGTGTATGAGTGTTTTGCCTGCATGTGTGTAAGTACATGACATGTGTGCAGTGCCTGCAGAGGCCAGAAGAGGATGTTTGATCCTCTGGAGCTGGACTTAGGGACAGTTGTTAACTGGTATTTGGGTCC